CAGCCCACTCCCCACCCAAGGCCGGTGCTGCCTCGTCAGCAGCACATTTATTCCTATACTGGTCCAGGCAAACAGCAAATTACTCCAAAGACTCACATGCTTTTAGGCAAGAGCTTCTTTTATACAAACTTTTAAGAGTATGAAGCCTAGAAAAGAAGTTCTAGCAAAGAGCACCTACGGGAGGATACAGTTTAATCGCAAACAGGTAAGGGTTATTTTGTTTGTTTTTTTCAATGCAGAGAACTACATATTTTATTTTTGCATGTCTAATACTACATATTTATATGTACAATACTACATATTTTTAAATGCAGAGAACTTTTTAGAAGCAGAGAACTACGTCTTTTAGCCAGTTGTGTACATGTTGAGTACTGGAGTAACATCACTGCTAACATTAGGTATTTAAATCCTCAGAAATACCCGTCCAGACCCGACAAACCAGGCAAGGGACGATGCTCCAAGCCAGGGGCTCTGGACGGCTCTCCTTACCGAGCTGCCAAGCAGAGCGCTGGACCCTATCCCCAGTGCAAAACCATGAACTTCAGTGTCCAGGGACTAACCTGCTTTAATTATACACGTTACCTGACATTCTAATAGGAATCAGAATTCACTGCTTACAGCTGAAGTCACAAACACATCACTAAAATCATCCAGACCTGCAGTTCTTACTGCGCCTGTTCTTCATCCACCCCAGCAAACTCCAGGCAGCTCCAACCTTCACCTCTGTTTCTGTCATTTCATTTCTCAGCATTGGGTTTCTCACCTGTGCAGTAGGATCAATATCTTCCTCCCCCATCAAGTTCCAAAATTTGGTTGGTTGTAATGTATTTTGGAATTTAAAACCAGCACATGCAACCGCTAAGAGCCGGTATTTGCTTGTTGCCATTTAAACATAGGTCTGCTGTCAGGTAAACACATTTACACTGCAGCACAGGAAAATAAGATAAAAACAAGAAACAGATCTTCACAGGTTTGTCTTGCTCCCTCAAATTGTTTAATATTGAGAAACAGGTTTTAAACTGGTTTCTAGAAACCTCCATTTCAAAGTCTGGCTCTGCACTACTAGGCATACTACATTGTCTGTTTACAGAAAAAAAAATAATCCACTGATCCATACCAATCCATTAATTTTAAAAACCTATGTGTATGTCTAATTAATCATTGTAGAAACACATCAGCAGCTGAAATCAGTCATCTTCCACTACACCACACTGAGGAAAAGCAAAATAACTATGTGTCAAAGTAAGTTTTCTCTAAATGAAACAACGGAAAAAGCAAAAAGAGCTGCTAAATCCTGCTGGTCCCTTTTCTAATCGCCAATTTGTGCTCATTTTAAACATAATTTTCTCTGTTTTACACTAAAGCTGTTTTATGTGCAAACTCTTCACTGAATCAGGTATTTAGGATTGTTCCCTGTGGATTAATTTACCTTCTGAACAACGCTGGGTGATAAAGTGCTGCTACACAGGCTGGCAGTGATTGCTCTGCGGACTGAATCCCGTCTATGAGCTATTTTAAACCAAACCAGTTTTGAGTTTATTTAAAAGGTAACAGCGTAAGGCTAGGTACGAGCCAGCAACACGAACGGACAGGCAGAGCACGTCTCCTGGGGAGCTGCCGCTTGCCAGCGGCGCG